ATTATTTTCTTTTCTATAAGTAGTACTTTCTTTCAGCTTTCATACAAATCATATGCTTACATACATATATATTTATTATATATATTTTTGAATTTAAATTTTTGTTGACTATATACGAAGGTACACACAGCTTACATTGGTTTGTTTGCATTATTTTCTTATTTATTTGGTATTATTTATTTTTAATTTAATTCAGATTACTCTGCTGATTATTTAATTTTATTCTTACTTTTATTTATAATTTTTCTATTATAATTAAAATTAATTTTCTAACGATTTTCTTTTGCTTTGATAGTTATCTGTGCAATTAACGCAATCAAAAACAGAGTTAGTGTATGAGTTAGTAGGCACGCCGGCAGGATTTTTGACGTAGGGATGCGCGAAAAAGGCAAAAAGTGAAAGAGACATAAAACGAGAATCTGAAACTAAAACACCGTTGATTGGGGATAGCGCGTGACTCGCGTGTGCACGCTAGCGCCCAATTGGCGGCAGTTAGTATGATAGTGCGGCGAAGCTATAATTAATGGTTCTTGACATGCACAGATCGTGGCTTGGCTAAGCCTGAGTGTATTTGTGTGTGTAAGAGAACTGAAAGGTTGTGGTCTTGACTAAATGAGTGAGCGAGAGATGTTAATCAATCAAACAAGGATGTTGTCTTACTGCAATGGTGAGTAGGTTGTGTTACTGACGAACTCACAATCAGTTAGTCTGTTCAATAGCAGTCCGGTTTACAGGATTTAGTCAGAACTTACAGGAAGTCGTTCCTATTGACATAAACCTGTAAGTGGGAACACATTTGAGAGAGTGACTGAGGAACTGTTCCTAGTCAGAAGTTACAGGATTTAGTCTGGAGTTTTTTTCCTGTAAGTTCATGAAAACAACAACAGAACGCGGTGAAAGCAAAGAACCTTATATTTGTAAAAAAAATGGAAGAAACAATGAAATATTTGAATATGTATAGATTTTAAAATATTATTTGTCTATGTGGTATTTCAGCCAGATCAGTGTTGCACCAACGACATGTAAACAAACCGACTGACGTTTTAACAGGAAGATAGTTGCTTTTTGCGTTCCCGACACTTCTGTATTAGTTCTCTTTTTACTCTCACTTGAGAGAGTAAAATTGCAGTTGTGACAGTTCCGAAGTTCAAAGGAACAGACTAAAAATAACATGATTTTTGAGATGAAAATGTGTGAGAGATAGAGCAGGTGAGAAAGTAGTCGAGGTCATTGGACTGACACAGTGCTTAAGTTAACGTTTGGGTGTTAAGAGACCAACTTGTGAATACTTTATGCGCTTTTATTTTATTCATAAAAATATTGCACAATTGCATGCATTTTGTTTTTGAATTTTTACTACTTAGCTGGTGGGCATTTACTATACAAAAAAGTGTATACATATTGATTACTTTAAAAAATACTTTTAAAAGCTATAAAGCTGGTCGTTCGCTTATTTAATTTTTTTCGGGTGGGTGAAAGAGGCTTTAAAGTGCGTGTAAAAAATATTTTGTGTAAAATAATATTTAAACTAAGTGAGTCATTTGCTGCTGGTAGAGGAACTTTTAAGATTTTTGGTAAAAACGCGTTTCGAATAATATAATATATTAAAATTTTGCAAAAAGTTGTATTTTTAAAATGAAATCTTCATTTGAAAGAACAAATAAAAAAATTGTACTTTCGAAATGGAAAATATTTTCAAACTTAAACCGTACTTTGCAAGAAGTACACATTTGAAAGGGTTATAAAAATTTAATGGATCAAAATTAAAAAAAAACAAGTAATAATTTTCTGTATTTTCGAAATGGAAACTAAAATTATTAATACTTTAAATAAATAAAAATTTGAAATGGATATTAACGTTTAAAGAAACAAAATTTTCACAAATAAAATTTATTATAAAACAAAACAACATTTAAAAGGGATATAAAAGTTCAAAGAATACAAATTCTTACAAGAATTTTGAATAAAAATAATTTTTGTATTTTCGAAATGGCAAATATTTAAATTTAAACTTTTTTTGAGGAAAAAATATTGAAAATCATAAAAAAGTTGAATGGATTAAAATGTTCACCAAAAAAATTTTTAGTAAAAATAATTTTAATATTTAAAGTATATGCATCTAAATAAAAAAAAAAAAACTTTCATTTAAATATAAGAAACAAAAGAATTTTTTTTACTAACTTAATTTTAATTAAAATTCAAATTTTAAAATTAAAGGAAAATGTAAAATATATGTTTTTAGTAAAGGATATGATATACATATTGTATTGTAACTCCAAAGACTAAAAAAACTCTGTAGGAAAATTTTTCTCAAAAGTTCTCTCTAAGTTAAAAAAAATATATAAAATAAAGACAAAAGTGTAAAAAAATTAAAGAAGTTGAAATAAAAATAAGACAAAAATTTTTAGCAGAAAAGTTTCGAGAATTGCCAAAAATATTTAAAATATTTTTAAGGCTAGAACGTTATTCAAAAGTTTATATAGTTATATGGATTTTTATTTATTTTATTAACAGGTTTTTAATTTCAATTATGAACTGCAAAATTCTTGAAATATTTTTTTTTTACTCAATCCATAATTACGACTTTTCTATTTAGGTAAAATAAACCAAGTTTTACACATATTTCAAGAAAGAAACATCATAAAATTAAACAATTTTCAAGAATTATAAATATGTTGAGAAATTTAAGGTAGACATTTTTTTATACAAATTTGTGGAGTAAAAAATTTTAACTTGGAAAAGATATAACAACTTACAAAACTTAAAAAAAATTAAAACAAAAATTAGAAGTTTGAAATTTTCAAAATTTTAAAAAGTAGTAGATATGAATAACAAAACATTCTTAAAACTATTTAAAATTTTATTTTAAAAATTTAAGTATGATTTCAATAATAATGCCCAGATTCATAAATTTAAAAAACTCTCAATTTATGCAGCCTTTTAAATTATTTTAATTCCATTAATATTTAGTTTTATTACTTAAAGGGTTTGAATAATTTATCTCTTTTAAGCAAAAATAATACTTCTACACATTTTTGGGAAGTGTGGAATTTTTTTCTTAATGGGCGAAAATGTCTGTACATAAAGAGATTCAAAACACCGTTGTTAAGCGTAAAGTTTATTTTGAAGGCAGAGTTGATAAATTTTTATTGTAATTTCGAACACAGGTTAAGTACATCTTTTTAAACAAACGAAAAATATTTAATATCTTAACGAAATAAAAATATATAGCTTAAATTATTTGCAGCTTAATATTTTTCTTGCTCTTATACTGTACCCTCTTTTTAGTACATGCGCGTGTGTGTGAGACTGTGTAGGTTAGTGGGCGTTTACTTCAATCAGGGGTGTATTTTTTCTCAATGATATTATTTCATTTGATTTTTTTTATTATATTATTTTAACATTTATCTTTCTATTATGAATAAAATTTATCATTATGCTGCTTGCTCTACACTTTTAGACTGCTTTATTTTTGTTTACTATTTTGCTAAGTTATATTTTTTTTTAATTTCTCTAGAAGTGAAGAAATTTTATTTTAACTTATTATAGGTTTTTTTTTATTTATGCTTAGTTTATTTTTTTCAATTAAATTTTTATTTTTATTTTGAATGTCAATTAAATATTTAATATTTAATTTATTAGCATTGCGTCAATGTCAGCTGCGTTTTTTTTATATACTGATTTCTGTTTTTATTTATTTTTTTAATTATACTAAAATAATGCGTTCTCACAATTTTTACTTAAAAACCTACATTTTCTGTACCATTTATTTCTGTATTTAGTATTAATGTTTATTTATATTTTAAATTTTTATTTTCATATTTTACTTTATGCTAAACTTTTTTGCTGCTTTCTGGTTCAAAATTTTTTTCTATTTTATTTAATACTTATTTATTTATATTTTTTTTACGGGAGGGCGCTTAGATTTTATTAACAAATTTAAACAACATTTTTTTCTTTGCATATCTTTTTTCTTCTCATTTTAGTTTAAATACTAATAATAATTAGTTTTTATAAATTTAACTTGCACTGAGACACCAAACAGCATTTACAGCGCATGCGTGTGTACGTTCATAAATATGTATTATATTTTGGTTGATGTATGTGTGTGGGTGTATGGTGTTATATGTAAATTGCTGTGGCTGTCACTTTATGTTTGTATTGTTTAGCTTTATATGAATTTGGGACAGGGGGATGAGGGGCGTGGTTTTACAAACTTATGCATATGTACATGCATATTAGGGTAGTCCCTGATAGATCGACATCATGGCGCACTCCTTCTCTTATTTTGGTTTACGTAAAAACTGAAAATATCCACGAAAATTAAAAAGAAATTTAATAAAATTTAGGGTCGCTACCAGGGTTTTAAAATTTTTAATTTTTTTTTTTTAAATCGCAAAAAATCCCCAAAATTTTGACTTTGGCTATAGCTCAGCCAGACTTATGACTTTATATGAATAAGTTTCAATAAAAAATCTGTCAAATTTATCAGAGTTTCCAGTACAAATCTTGTTGAATTTTTGCGAATTCAAAAAAAATTCTAATTTTTTCGACGCCTAAGTTTGTTTTTAATATTTGAGATTTTCGTATATGTTTTTATTTTGTAAGTAGCACAAAAAAGGTGTGTCCCATTTTGAGGTCGATATTTTAAGCACCACCCTAATCAATACATTTTATTTGCTTTATTTGTATGTATGCATGCATGTATTTGTGGGCATGTCAAGTTGCATCTTCTTCGCTTACCAATAAAAAAATTTACAAAGTTTTCACATGCGATTTTTTTCAGTAAAAATTTGCATTGGGATTGAAGTTTTTTTTTCTAAACAAACATGCATATCTTGCGCGCTCACTGTCTTAAAGCGCGTAGCCTAGTTTCGCTTTCATAACTTTTTTTTGTGACAAGTGACATTTTCTATGGCTGTGTGTATTTTTCGGTTTAACTTTTTTTTGCATGTAGTGTAGTTTGTTTGAAAATTATATTTGCTCTGAATATTTTTTTATTGTTAGTGGCTGCTTGCTTCTTCATTTGTTTTGCTACTAAACTTTTTGCTTCGCTTTGCGTCTTACATACATAGCTACTTACAAATCGCCTAGAAGTTTTTTGTTTTGTATTTTTATGTTTTTTTAAATACATATACATAACTGTATTTTGTTTTTACTGCAATGTAATAAATTTTTGGTTTTTGCTTTTGTTGTAATGTATTGTTTGTTTTGTTGTTATTTGCTTCTTGTGTTTTTGTTTTCTTCTTTTTTCGCTGCGCTGATTTTCGTTATTTCTTTTTCGCTTTTACATTTTATTTTATTTTACTTTTATTTTTATTTTTGAATTATAGTAATAATTTTTTACTCAACTTGCTTTCACTATTCAAAAATATCAACAAATCCTAATAAATATTCTCAATAATTAAATTCTACTAATTTTCAAAAAACTTCGGCTTGCTTTTGGTTTTTCTTTCTCTCAGTTAAGTAAGCGTTTAAAGTAAAGGAAATAAGCACGAAAAAAGCCTTTTTGAGTTATTATCAAAATTTTTAAGCGCATTTTTTCGCTTTCTAAAGCAAACAATTTATATAGCTACATAATTAAATTTTTTTCCTACAATAAAGTGTATTTATTATTCTTTTTCATCTCTTTCGCAAATGAAATTTAAAATTTAAAAAATATTTTTGTTTTTGTTTCTCTGTTGCTGCAGTGTTTTGTTTTGCATTTGGTTTATATTTTTGTGTTTTTTGCCTTTTTTACTATTTTTTTCAAAAATTAGTATATATACATACATATGTATATATACGAGTACGTATGTACATATGTACATATGTAGGTATTAAATTATGCCTTGTTACGCTTTTTGTCTTATTTTTTTTTGTCATTTATTTATATATTTAGTTTTATTTATTCAAAATTTGGTTTGCTCTCGCTCTATTTTGCTTATTTTTCTTGGTTATGTTCTTTGAATTTATTTTGTGTATTTTCTCTTCGTTCGCAAAATAAATATGTATTTAGCTTTTTTTATTTTACTATAAATTTTGTTTGCTTACTATTTTGCTGACATTTTTAATGCATTTAATTTTGAATCATTCATTTAGCTGTTGTTGTTGTGGTTCTTTCTCACTGCTTGCCGCTAAATTTGCTCTTTATTTATTTATTTACGGCTTGTCGTTCTTGTCTTTGGTTGTTGCTGTATTTTTTCATGCATTCCTTCTTTGCTTTCAACCCTGCTCTTACGTCTACACCTTTCTTTTGCTCTTTTCCTCTTTCTCTCCTTATCTCACCCTCCATCTAACCTCTGTACTTCTTTACTTTCATTACCCTGCTTTACATACTTCCTCTCACTCACTCTTCTCTGTTTTATCTCTTCCTCGCATGTTCGTTTACTTAATTTTGCTACTGTTTCTGTTATTGTTTTATCTGAAGATTTTCTTATTTTCTGTTGTATTTCTTACTTCTCTTGGAAAGTATTTTCCTTGTTTTTATTATAATTTTCTATATTTTTTTTGTTTTTTGGTTTTGTTATGGTTTTATTAATTTATTTTTTATGTGCTTCGTTCACTTATTGGCTCCGCGCTATTTCTTAATCAACCATCAACTCGAAGTGGACGGATCCTCTCCTTTCGTGGCGATCGTGGAAAATGTTGTTGGCCCATGCTTTGCATTCAATGTTGATCAAAACGCCGGCTAAAAAGGAGAAAAAACAAGGCATAATATGATAAGTCAGTATGTGTGCATACACACATTTATAAATACATACATATATACATAAAATGATGAAATTAAGAAAGTAAATTTTAAATTGGGGGTTAATGAGTGCTTTTATGACAAAGTGCTCAATGCGAATATTTGGCCAACGAATGTTATGATTCGACCCTTTCGGTTTTTTCAAAAAGAAGGTGCACCACAACTGAAGCCGTAGGCACTTGTGTTCCAGTTAATTGCCGCATGAATCATCCCAAGTATAAGAAGCATCTTACAATATATTTTCAAAATGTATCCGGCCTGCGGACTAAATCTAACTCGCTTTTCAATATGAGCTCTAATGCTGAATATGACATCTTGTGTTGTCTTGATTGAAACTTGGCTGAATTCGGAGTTTTTTGACAGCGAATTCTTCGACGCCAATTTGTATTGCGTTTATCGCAAAGATCGGGACTACTCCAAATTAGGCCTCTCGAGAGGAGGTGGGGTTCTCATCGCTGTTCATCGCCGGATTCGCTAATCGCTTGTGAGTTTGAGCAACACGGACTCCTTGTTGGATCAATTGTGTGTCTCGGTGCTTGACAGCTGCAGAACTTTTATCTGCGCGTCATACATCCCGCCGTCTAGTGTGGACTCACTCTACAAATCGCACGTTGACAACGTTGTCGATCTCGTCTGTAATCATCATAGTGATAATTTTTGCATTCTCGGAGACTTTAATTTACCGAACGTGGAATGGTCATACTTAGACAATACTTCAACTTTACTTCCTAAATATGTGAACGGTTTTTCGGAATCGTATCATGTAGACAACTTCTTAAGTGTTAATCTATCCCAGATAAATAGTCTCACTAATAAGTTATCCAGAACTCTTGATCTAGTTTTCATTAATGCAAATATGAACCTTAATTTAAGTGAATGCCGTGCCCCGGTTTGCATCATGTGCCGCATTCTCTTGATCTCGAATTTTATAACTTCGAAAGTATCTGTTCGAATAATCTATCGCCTAGTTTTAGTTTTAGGCGTTGCAATTTTGATATTGTCAATCTAGACATCTCCTCCACAGACTGGGAATCACTATTTTCTGGATTCGGTGTTACACTATTTTTAAAAATAGAGTCAATGAAAAACAAAACTGCTATAAAATCCCGTGGTATACTAAGAAACTAAAGAATTTGAGAAATAAGTTTTACAAAAAATTTAAATCAACTAAAATTTCTGCTTTTAAAGATAAATATCTTCACTATTCGAGAGAGTTTAAAACGTTACGTAACATACTTCAGAGCAGGTATGTTCGTAATTTCGAGTCGGATATCAAGGTGAATCCAAAGTCGTTCTGGAACTATGTAAATTCCAAAAAATCGTGCTCTAGTATTCCATCGGAAGTCTTTTATAATGGGACCCACGTCTCTTCTTCTTCTAAGGCTGCAAATCTTTTTGCTGACTTCTTCCGGTCGAATTTTGTGACACAGTCGGGCACCTCTCGGGGTTTTTTTCCAACTGTGGATTCTCCAATTAACTTTGGTAGGCTCTCATTATCTCTTGATGATGTAGTTGATGGCATTTTGCAAATCAAATCCTCATTGCAGACAGACGTTGATGGCTTATCATCGTATCTTCTTAAGAATTGTTTGGCCTTTGCAAACCCACTTCTGTTACTATTCAATAAATCACTTGAGTGTGGCGAGTTCATCGATGCCTGGAAAGTTACCTTCATTAGCCCTATATTTAAAAGTGGTGACAAAAGAAATGTTTCCAACTACAGGCCCATCGCCAAGTTGTCGACTGTTTCAAAACTATTTGAATTTATTGTTAAGTAGAAGTTGTATTTTACAGTTAAACGCTTTATTTCCGATAATCAGCATGGTTTCATGTCCGGTAGGTCTACTGTGACAAATCTAGCAATTTTCTCGGAATTCTGTATGACGGCTTTCAACGACCGCCTTCAAGTCGACACTGTATATACAGATCTTTCAAAAGCCTTCGATAAAGTCAGCCATTCAATTTTGATTTCTAAATTAGCTAGTTTGGGTTTTCATTCACTATTTTTATCTTGGATAAAATCCTATCTTCAGNTCATCTATTTTTATCTTGGATAAAATCCTATCTTCAGCATCGAAACTGTGTAGTCGTTGTCGACAATATGCACTCCAACTATTTCATAGCGTCGTCTGGGGTTCCACAAGGCAGCATCTTAGGCCCCCTGCTATTTGTCAGTTTTATAAATGACATATCGAGTTGTTTTGCTAACTCTAATTTCCTTTTATACGCTGATGATTTGAAGATTTTTTCGACCATTTCAGTTTCTTCAGACTCCATTAAGATTCAATCAGACCTTGACAATGTCTCAGCCTGGTGTCGAACCAATGGCCTTTAGTTAAACATAAGTAAGTGTTTTCATTTATCCTACTCCGAATCGCGTTGCGTTATCCCCACTTCTTATTGCAT